CGCGGGCTATGAGAGGAGGTCTATCTCCCTGTCTTTTCCAAGGTGGTGGGACAGCCAAAAGAAGGCTTTTTCTTCCCCGTTCCCATAGCTTAGACCCGCGATGGGCTTTAATTGCGAGAACTTACAACAGGAAGGTCCTGGCGCTGGCGTTGGTCGCTTTCCACGGCTCTCCTTTTTCTCCTTCTCCTGCTTGCAATTGTTGTGGAAGTTGTTTTTGCTAGACTCATGTGCTCCTTGCCAGGTCTCAGCAATGGAGAATCGCCATCTTTTTCCCTGCTTTTTTCCCCCCTCTCCCTCTCTCTCTCTCTCTCTCCCCCTCTCCTCTCTCTCTCTCTCCCTTACTGGTTTGCTGCAGCTGCAGATGACCTGAGATATCCGTCTCTCTCTCTCTCTCTCTCTCCCTCTCTCTCTCTCTCTCTCTCTCAATCTTCTGTGTGTCTCTCTCTGAATAATGAGCAACCAGAGGGAGCGAGAGAAGGAGAGAGAGAAGACAATCTCCTTGCCTACCACACAAAACGCAAGAGCACCAGGGGGTGCAAGAAGGCTTTCTAACAACAACAACGTGGGGGGGGGGGGAGAAAGAAGAGGGGGGCCGAAGGCAAGAGAATAAGAGGAGGGGGAAAGAAAGCTAGAGATGGTGATGGTGGAGGAGGAGGAGGTGGTGGTGTTGAAGAAGATGAGAGAAGAGGAAGATGGTTACAAACTTGAGTCCTCTTGGGATATGATTTCTGAGGCACTCCCCGGCTTCCTGAGGTTGGGAGAGCTGGAAAAAAAAACCACAAGCGACCTGGAGAGGTTTCCCAATCCTAAACTGTTGCTTGTAAACTGCAACCCTTGTTAGTCTTGGAGATGCTGAGAGAAAGCCCCTTCTCTACGCTGCTGGGTCACCAGAGCCTTTGCCACCAGACCTGACAAGTTCTAATAAAATCTGTACCACCGGGCTTGAGCGCCTCCAGAGATGCGCCTTGTCTCTGTCCCCTAAGCTGATCCCTGAGATGCGCCCATCTAGAAGAGGCTTAGTCTTTTTTCCTTCCTTCTTCCACCCCCCCCCCCCCCCCCCAGCAGCAGCGTGAAAGAACACAAATGGAACTGGAGGTTGCAAAGTGTATCTTAAAAGAAAAAAATAAATAAAAAGGAAAAGAAAAGCTCAGATCTACCACGTGGTTGATTTTAATCCCCCTCCCTTCTCTTTTAGCTTGCGTTTGAGGGGAGAAAAAGGACTCAAATTGTCCATTTCTAGCACGTATTTTGAAGTCTTCTCCCGGAAATAAAGACTCTTTGTCGTTTGATTTCTTCTCCTAGCATGTGTGTGTGCGTGTGTGTGTGTATGTATATACATGTATATGTGCGTGTGATATACTCAACAGAGACACACAAAAGGAGAAAGCTTGTAGCACACAGGGGTAAATGCTCCTGCTTCCTTAGAAAGGTCTGTGCAGTGTTTTGACTACCACAGGATCCTACTTTAAAATTAAAATTAAAAATAAAACTTTGGTGCCATCTTCCCCCTCCCTTCCCTCTCCTTGTCTGCACTTCTCTGGCTGACTATAATAGGCGCAAGCTATGGAAAGTGACAATCAAGATTGCCAATGATAAGGTGTCATCACCTTGAAGACAAAAGAGAGAGAGGGAGAAAAAAATGAAGATATTACAACCATGGATCTTTATTTTTTCCAGGAAATCATTCTGAACCCTTCCTGCAAACAATGTGTGTGCGTAGGATTCTCTCCTTTTTCTCCCCCTTCTACTTGCATCTTTCATGCCAAATTTAATACCTTTCAGATTTTAATCTAGTACTGGGGTTGGGGAGAGAAGGGTGGAAGGGAAATGAAGTTAACATTGCAAAAAAAAATCAATAAACACTGTAGTGAAGAGGAAAGCAATTTGAAATGGAAGACATGGCACTCCTGATATTTCTGTTTCTCTAGTCCTTCAACTAGTCTCTCTGGAGCAAAGAGGGGGTAGGACTTTAAAAGATGGGGGAGGGAACCCTTTCCATGGAATGAGAAACCTTCTGTGGAAAAAAAGAAAAGCTGAGTCTTTTATTTTAAATATGTGGATTTAATTAAGATAGAGAAACAATTCAACTCAAGCTTTAAAGAATAGTTGAGCCTAAGGAGCTACAGAATAAACCCGAAAGTGGGAAGACGGAAGAAACATTCATCAATTAAGTAAAAATGAGTACGCATATCCGTCTGTAATTTTCCATCATGTCCTCAATGTTGTTCTCCTTTCCTAATTTATGATGATTAATAATGAGTAAAACCTAGTCCTTCTAAAATTGTCAGGATTTATGTGATCTTGAATGAGATCAATGGCTTCCAGTACAATACCCCTTCTAATGTTTCATATTATATTATTACAATAATTGGGGGAACTGTTTTTGCACACTTTGGAAGCTAATACATCTATCAGTCTATGCTGATGCTTCTCACCGCCCCAATTTTGACTTTGTCATCAGAGATAATAATTCTTCTAACAAGGTGACATGCCAGAAGTAAGGCCTTTTTCTTTGTGTGGAAAAAGGCAAATCCAACTGCATCACTCTTCAGCTATAGTGTTAAATAAGATAAATTCTACTGAATTTAGGGAAGATCTGCGTATCAAATTCTCAAGGCAGTGCTGATGGTAATTGTGTCACTGCTGATTTTGCATTTGGGCTTTTATGGTGCACTTGCTTCATGTCCAGTTTCTGAGCCCCCTTCTCTTGTTCATTGCAGTACTATAAGGAACCCAGATGGTGTGTGTCCCCAACCGTGAGGGGCTGTCATGTCAGCATCTCGGGCCACTCTAGTTGGTACACCATTGCTGCTGCTTCTTTTTTTTTAAAAAAAAAAGTTTCTTTTTAATCCTGTAACCAACTATTGGACAAGTATTCCCGTACTTGATGTCAGTTTTCCCCAATGTAATCAGTTTCTTTGTTTTGTGTATGTTCTTGTTTATGTGCATGAAATGCCAATATGTTCCAGTGTCCAATTAACACGCCAACTCCTTTTTTTCCCCATCAAATGTCATTTTGTGGTTACTCCCCATCTACTTCTCTCTGTTTATATATGCATATATACATAATACTGAGAGACAGAGACAAAGATAGAGACATAAACTTCTATATTTAATACATACATATCCAATGAGGCTGGAAGGCAAATTCTTAACACCAGCCATCTCGACAACCCACTGTCCTTCTCAACATCATCACTGCAGACTATCTGTTCACATTGAATCCTCTGCTTTCCAGGCAGGCGCATCACTAACTATACAATTTCTATGTGCTCAAAAGTGTTTATAAGAGAGGCCCACAGACTTCCTGCCCTCTTCTTCTCTCATGGCATTGCTGTTAGAACTGGAATGTAAGGAAATCAAGATCCTTCTGTGGTAGGTCTTTAATTTGGCAGCAACCGCTATTTGCCAGCCACAGTTTGGTAGCATTTCCTTGTGTGTATCTGGAAAGGACAGCTTTGAATGGCTATCATATCAAACCCAAAATGAATTTTAAAAGGCTAAAGATGGACTGGTTGTCCATGGACATTAGGAAAAGCCAACAGCCATCCATTTATTCATAAAGTACCATAAAGTAAGGAAGGCTGGAAGATTGGAAAGAATATCACTTAACTGATATGTATTTTGTATCCCCTGGCCTCATTCTCCATGATTATGTATTGCTTTATGAGCCATGACGGTGCACTAGTAAGAACGCACTATTGCAGGCTAACTCTGCTGACTGCCGACTGCCAGCAGTTCGGCGGTACAATTCACTGGCTCAAGGTTGACTCAGCTTTCTATTTTTCCGGGGTCAGTAAAATGAGGACTCAGATTGTTGGGGGCAATATGCTGACTCTTTAAACTACTTGAAGGGGGCTGTAAAGCATTGTGAAGCTGTATATAAGTCTAAGTACCATTGCTGTTGCTTTCCCAGTTTATAACAGCAGTGAGCAACTGCTGTATGAGGAAACCCTGGCCATGTTTTGTGCCACTGCCCAAACGTTACTTCTGCTTACCATATATTTTTATTCATGCTAAGGGTTTCCTCCCTGTACACCACACAGAAAGCAGTGGAAGGAGTACACAGTGGCCCTGTAGGTGGGTTATTGAGTTGGCAAGATAGCACAGGAGATGGTCATCTTATCTTTTCCGTTCGTTCCCTGGTAGATACCCCACACTGAGCACATCAGGGACCAAGCGTAATCCTGAGCTCCTTTTTTGCTCATGAAGGTGAGGATTGCAGTAGGTTATTCTAATGAGTATCATGTGATCAGCTCAGAGGTTGCCTTAACAATTTTCAACTGGCAACCCTTTTTTTTTTTTTTTTGTCCATAAACATAGCAACTTGAGGTTCAGCAATCCACATTAACACCATGCTGGACAGTCCTGTGAGTTGCCAGATATGGGGGTGGGGGTATTGCCGGACAATTCTGCAGCTGAGAAATGATGGGTCTTTTGGAATGCTAACAGTTGACCCAACATTTTCCTGACAAAGCAATGAAAACAGACCCACCAGTGTGACTTCCTTCACCGTCCTCACCATCTGCTATGACACCACAGGCCAACATGGTGCAATCCACTCCAGTCAACCACACACTGCAGGCACCTGCGTTCCAACCCAAAGGCTTGATTTCATTTTTCACCAGTAAGGTTGCAAATCTCAGAAGATAGCGTCTTGGTATAGTGGTGGGTGATGGGCATCTTACCTTGCTGATTTCCCAGAGGCAATGTCATCCTGACCCTTTCAACAAGAGTGGACTCTGTGAGCTTAATAGCAGAATTGTTTTCCTGTACACGGAAACGTAATTTCCATATTGGTCTCCCATGCAGATACATCTACCAGTCTGCAGAAGCAACATATTCCTGTTGAAAACTTAAAACTCCTGGAGTCTAGTTTATCAGAAGAATATAGAAAATGTTGCTCCATGTGTAGGAGTAGGGGTGACACTGGGACATAATCTACTGCATTGATGGCACTGCACTAGTTTTGTTTCTCTTCTTCCCCTGGATGGTATTGCATCTTTGCACAGTGGCAGTATCATAGGTATTTAATGAAGTTAATCAGAGACGTGAATATTGCTAATTGAAAACTTTTCCCAATATCCTGCCATGAAACATGAACAATAGTTTGCAATGGCAATTTTTGAAAGTTCACTCTCTGATTACTGAGTTGCTTATATCCCTGCCTCGATTCCCTCTGTTGAAACTGAACTTAACTACTGGTAAGTTGTGTTGTTGTGCACTATGTTGTGGTGGGATGATTGAGAGATATGGTATGCCCACAGATACCCACAGAACAACTTCTGCCATTGTCTACCATTGAGAAGTAAAAGGTGCTGATTGTAACACAATGTAGCGTATCATGATAAAGGCTAGATTTCCAAAATGTAATACCAGGTTGCATGGGTCCTCCCTTTCCTACTATAGGTAGAATATATAAATGACAAAGGATTGAGTATGTTTGTGGTGCAGGGGGTCTGATGGGCTCCTGTAGTCTCCTTCTGAGCATAGCACTTGGAAATACTGAGTGGTAGATGTAGGGTTATCAAAAGATGCAGGGCCTACAGAACTAATATAATTTCACATTTGTTGAGTGTTGGGGGAGACATGGAGGAATAGATAATCCTACATACAAAGTTTGACGAAAGTCTTGTACAATTAGCAAGCACAGACATGTAGGAAAATCAGCACCAACCCAAACTAATCAATGCCCTGTCACTGCTTGGACCTCATAATATGCTTTGGCTTCAATAATAATAGCACTTAGACTTATATACCGCTCCATAGTGCTTTACACCACTCTCTGGGCAGTTCATCACTCTCAAGTCCTGGCACTAAATAATGCACACTATGGCCCTTGTTCACAGATATCATGCAGTGGTATAGGTAGTCCTTGACTTACAACCACAATTGAGCCAGAAATTTATGTAGTTAAGTGAGTTTTGCCCAACTTTATGACCTTTCTTGCCATAGTTTTAAACTGAATCACTGCTGTTGTTAAGTTACTAACATAGTTGTTAAGTGAAGCTGGCTTTCCCATTGATTTGCTTGTCAGAAGATCGCAAAAGGGATCACATGACTCAGGGACACCACAACCGTCATATATATGAACTAGTTCCCAAGTATCCGAATTTTGATCACATGATTATGGGGATGCTGCAACAGTTGTGAATGTGAAAAATGGTCATAAGTCACTTTTTTCAGTGTCGTTATAACATTGAAAGGTCATTAAACAAACTGTTGTAAGTCGAGAACTACCTGAACCTACACTCCCTATGGACACCACTCATATGGATACAGAAGAACCCACTGCAGGCCAAATCTTGTATGGGACATAAAGGTTACAGGCAATGGTGGGATTCAAATAATTTAACAACCGGTTCACCCAGGCTCAGGTTGGCTGTCATGGGAGACATGGCCCATCCCCGTCTTCCAGCTCCGCCACACATGCGGGATGAGCCTCCCGCAATGGCCAACCTGACCCTGGGTGAACCGGTTGTTAAATTACCAACCCCCTGCTATCAAAGTGGATTCTGGGCACTGCACTGCAACGGAGAAATGGGCAACAGAGCGGTTGGCATGAGGGAAGGAGGAGGAGCAGGGAGAAGAAAGAAGGAAAGCGGCTTCCTCCTTCCCTCATGCCGGCTGCTTTATTGCCCATTACTCCATTGCAGCATAGTGCCCAGGATCCACTTTGATAGCAGTGTGTGTAATTTAACAACCGATTCATATGAACCGGTGCGAACCAGCTGAATCCCACCATTGATTATAGGGCTATTCCCCTGCTTGTTCTATCTGCTACACTATAACAAAGAATGGTGTGATCTGAAGGCTAATAGTGGAAGCATAATGATCCTGCAATGTGCAATGTTGCAGCTGTGTTCCAGATGTCATGATGTAAGTGGTTGATGATATGCCTGGTTGTCCTCATGGTGGTGTCTAGGTCACAGTTGTGCTTTCATGGGGCAAGCCATTTGTGTGCCTGGTCCTTCAGCTGCTGCACAGACAGGCTTCCTGGAATGTTTAGAGGCAAATCTCCTTAACGGTAGTACTTGTTTCTACTTGGAGTGGTGAAGGAGACACTCTCCTATGTTCTCAGTGCAAGACCTTTGTGTGGCACCACTAACTGGAAAGCCAGGGACAATGCTGCAAGCAACGGGTGCTATGAGAGAAAGAGAATCGTGTTAGATGGATGCTGAAGGAAGAGCAGGTTGGCCATGACTGTGCTAACTTCCAGAAGCAGGCGTGACTCTCCTTAGTTGATGGCCCTGCTGCAGGAGGACAATGGCAATAGTCTTGGTTGCTATTCAGATGCAGCACCTCACGCTTCTCCACTGTACTATGCAATATGGTGATATTGCATAGTACAGTGGAGAAGCTCATCTTGCATTTGATTATTATATGGCTGCCTATGGAGATTCTCAGTCATCCAGGTCACAGTTGTCCCAAAGGTGCTTTTTTCAAGAGGCAACTGGACTTTCTAGTTTTTCTTTGAAGATGATTCACTTCTCATCCAAGAAGCTTTTTCAGCTCTCACTGGATCCTTCCATTTCCCACCATCCAGTGAGAGTTGAAGAAGCTTCTTTCATGAGAAGCTAAACATCTTCAAAGAAAAACCACAAAATCCAGTTGCCTCTTGAAAAAAAGCACCTTTGGAGCTATCCAGGGGTGGGATTCTGCTGGTTTGGACTAGTTCGGGCAAACCCTTTGCTCCAAAGATCAGCTGTCTCTGAACCAGTTTGGTGCGATGATCATGTGGGCCTGCCCGCCTGCCCATGCACTGTACTGACCTTTATCATCCCAGCTGATGAGCGCAGAAGAGTGGATTGCCGCTCCTCAACTGTGTTACTCCCCTGAAGTAACATAACAGGTAAGGACTTTTGCATTGTGTTGATCTGCACGTAATCACCGGTTGTTATACCGCCAGCATCCCACCCCTGGAACTACCATACGGTTGGTTATCTAGTTCCTGCTCATTTGGGTACTGTTTGGTGTCATCCAGCATCTGCTCCATCGTGTCATGGAAGTGGTAGTCTATAAGAATGCCATGGAAGAGAGGAGATGGAAGAGAACATCAGACAGATGATCAGGCAGCTGACCAGCCTTGAACTGGAGGAACATGCTGTGGGTGCAGTAGGCAGTAAAGCAGAGGATTTCTAGGTGCATGGATAATACAACTGCAGACTGCAGGTGGCTATCATCCTTCACCGTTGTGATCCTGGTAAGAGTTTTTTTTTTTTTAAATATTTCTTGATCCTGGTAAGAGTTGATGGATCTTGTAATGAAACATAAAGAGAGTCACAAGTTGCTCATCCCTGGTAAATAGACGTTATCAAAATATGTATTCAGATAATTCCCACTGAAACCAAATCAATTGAGCAACAGTATTTAGTTCTGCAATCATAAATTTATTTACATTAAAATAAATTCCAGTGGCATATGCTTCTGAAAAGATCTTCCTATAAGGTATCTTATTGGTGGTTGGACATTACATACTAGCTGATGTAGATCATACGCTGTATTTTTGGGTCTCATCCCTTTGACTGCCTGAAGGGAACACCAAAATACATCCAATTCCCCGCCCCCATCCCAGGCAAGTCCCTTTAATCTCTGCAGTTTTCTTAGTAAATGTCTATGGAGATTCTCATTCATCCAGGTCAGGATTGGGCCAAAGGTGCTTTTTCAAAAGGCAACTAGACTTCGTTTTTCCTTGAAGATGTTTCGCTTCTCATCCAAGAAGAACTGAAGAAGCTTCTTGGATGAGAAGCGAAACATCTTCAAGGTAAAACAAAATCCAGTTGCTTTTTGAAACACAAAAAAACCTCCTTTGGGATTTTTTAAATAAAGCTTTTCAGAAGTTGGTTGGCTATTGCCTCCTTCCTAGGGCTGAGGGAGAAGGACTGGCGCAAGGTCACCCAGCTGGCTTTTGCCTAAGGTGAGATGAGAACTCACCGTCCCCCAGTTTCTAGCCTGATGCCTTACCACTATACCAAACTGCCTCTCCCATCCCGACAGTTCATACTGTACTTCTACATGAATTAACTCTTCTACTCAGTACTATTTAAATAAGATGAAAAAGAGAGGGTGGGGAGCAGATGGAAAAGTGCCTATTTTAGAAAATCAATTGAAGCGGGGGGCGGGGGGTGTAGGGAAGATCTGGAAAATATTGTATTGATTCTCATAGTTCCATGCAGACAAGAGAAAGCAGACACAACCTAAGATGCTGATCAAAGAACATTATTAGAGAAGAGGGGGGCGGGGGGTGGGTAGACTTTGCCGCTGCCAGGGTGTGCATGTGTTCTGGCAGCAATTTTCAATAAATCATCCCTTCTCGTGAAAGGAATGCCAGGACTTTTCAGAAAGTCTTTGACATACCTTCAGCACAAGAGCAGATAATGTGTCTCTTTGTCTTTTAATAATGAATCCTGACTCTTCCTGTCAGCCAGTTCTCCTGGAAAATAAGAACGCTTGGGCTGGGGCAAGGTGGAAGCTTGGAACTTCAGTTATGGGGAAAACTCAGACTCATCGCATCCTTCTTTCCCTTTCTCTTTAAAGAGAAAATCAAAACTGATCTTCCCGGAGATTATTTTTTTAGCTGACCTCATTTCCATAGAGATGGCCATAAGGATTTTGTCTTCCTGCAATCTTAGCTTGCATAATTATATACAGATTGTCTTAGGTAACGCATTACTTTTATCTCCAAAGAAGGTCATGGATAACCCTTTATTTTAAAATACTGATTCATCCTTCCAGAATATCATAGTTCCGTGCAACATATAATGCCTTCTGCCAACTAGAAGTCAGTAGACTTAGCACAAACGCTTGGTGGGGCATCTTACTTAAGAAGCATTGACCTGGTGTTCTGCAGATTGCAAAGTTAACTTTCTTTAAGGGTTGGCCAAGGCACATGCTCTAATAAGCCCAAGAGAAAACACCCTTCTCCGTGATCGTATTCACCCTTGCTCCCAGAAGAAAAATAAAACAACAGAGCTTCATTTTCTTTTTGACTAATTTTAATATGGTCTAAAACCTGTATTTTTGCCAAACTGAGTTGATTAATCTGAAGGTGGCCCTTTCTTTTATTTAACAATTTTAACTGTTGCTATTTTCCTATGTTTTTACTACTGTGGATTTTATTCTTGAGTCATATTTTCCATTTGTTTCATTACT